CTGGCTTAAAAAGAATTACCTAGATCAGAAACCACCAAGGCAGAGTTTATCAACTTGAGACCTACTAGAAAAGCTATTTTAGTACGCTCTCCCCTCACTTTTCTGCTCCTGCTCCTGGAGGGGTTTAAAAAAAAAAAAAAAAACATAAATCAACACAGAAGAAAAAACACATACCATGAACAAAAGTAAGATTGGCCTTTTTCTGTTTCTATGTAAACTTCCAAGAATATCAGGAAAGGTTGTCAAACCATTTCTCGAAAATGTCTGCCCTTCCCTTTTCGTGACATTATCTTTCATTTGCCTTTTGTTTATTCATAACACAGCTCCAGTTTAAATAGACAAGAGAAGGTATGTTATTACATAATTTCAAATCAGATACATTGTGTTTCTCAAATCTGATCAAGCAAAGCAGACTTCTCTTAAAGCACATTGTGGCTTGTAATGCATGGTTAGGTTTTTGGAGTCAGACACTATTTTTGTTATCCTCAGCAAGGTCTCGCACTTTAAGAAAAGTCCCATTTCATTCTCTTAGCAGTTGCCAGCTTTCACCATTTGTTTTCCTGATGGGATTGGTGTCCTGCTCTCCTCAAAATCAGTCTAATTACTACCTCTTTAATAACCATAGTAGGACTTTTTCCAGCTGATTTAAAAATAGCTGCACTTGTGTCTTCTTTTAAAGGAAGAAAGTCACTCTTTCACAACAGGTCTTCCTGGTCACTCTGTGAACACTCATTTAATACATTGCACAGACATTATATCTAAACTATCTTTTGCATGGTCAACTAAAGATCAGCTGGGTTTGCCAGGGGAAACACATGCAGAGTAGGGTCCCTTCTATCTCTTCACTGAAGTATCATAACTTTAACTGAAGCAAGCACTGATATTGAATATGCAAGCCACAAGCCTATCCTACTCTCTCGTGCTGCAAGAATCTGATTATTTTGTAGAAACTGGTACAAGCTCAACCTCAGAGACACACTTTAGAAGATTAGGCAGCTACTCAAAGCTGGAAATTTCATACTTAAGCAGAGTGAAAAAAAAATTAATTCTAGGCTTCTCTCAATAGCAGCCTACCAGTACCTGAAGTGGACCTACAGGAGAGATGGGGAGGCACTCTTTATCAGGGAGTGTAGGGAGAGGACAAGGGGTAACCGGTTTAAGCTGAAAGAGGGTAGATTTAGACTAGACATTAGGAAGAAATTTTTCACTGTGAGGGTGGTGAGACACTGGAACAGGTTGCTCACAGAAGCTGTGGATGCCCCATCCCTGGAGGTGTTCAAGGCCAGGCTGGATGAGGCTTTGAGCAACCTGGGCTAGTGGCGGGTGTCCCTGCCCATGGCAGGGTGGTTGGAACTTGATGATCTTTAAGGTCCTTTCCAACCCAAACCATTCTATGATTCTATGATTCTAAAACTCCAGAAGGAAGGAAGGACAAGAGGAAACACCCTCAAGTTTCACTAGGGGAGATTTAGGCTAGATATTAGAAAAATTTTTTTCACTGAACGAGTAACAGGCTGCCCAGGGAAGTGGTGGAGTCACCATCCCTGGAGGTGTTCAAGAAACGTGTAGATGTGGTGCTTAGGGACACGGTTTAGTGGGTTTGGTGGTGTTGGGTTGATGGTTGGACTCGATGATCCTTGAGGTCTTTTTCCAACCTTAATGATTCTATGATTCTGATTCCATTCTTCTCACCTGAACAGCTCCATCTCCTTCCTGTAAAAGCTCCAAGTGTTCCAGTGTATATCTTAAAAAAAAAAAATCTGTACTTAACATCTTAGTAGAGCTTTAATGCCAGATGCTGTGTTAGTGTTCAGGATTAAGTGACTGCATAATAACCACTGCCAGAAATTTACAGGCCTTCAGGAATTTCATGACTGAAAAAAAATAAAAAAAAAGATGTCTAAGATTAATGGCTGTTTGATCTGAATTCTGAGGACCTAAATGTTAAGGCCAAGCATTTTACTGATGCTTTAGATAGGCAGCCTTTTTCTGAGGGGGGAACTAGCCCCCAAAGTGTTCTGCAACGGACCATTCCACATCATATCATATTTGTCTGAAATGACCTAATCAACTTAGCAACACAGAATACCTAACAGAATAAACTTGTTATAAAAAGGCAAAAAAAAGTTTGAACACAAAAGGATGCAACGTTTCTAAACTTGGTATCAGATAACACATCATTATCCATTGCTTGGGCTCTCTATCCCTTTTTTTGTTGTAAGTCTGTAGCATGTGTTTGATTCAAACTGCTCCAGACAGGAGCTTATCAATACTACTGATCCGTTAATGGAACTACGAACATCACAAAATACACAAGTCTTTAGGGCAAGGTACCTAAAACAAGATAAGTAGGATTAAAGCATGCCTTTCCATGCTATAAAAGCAATTTGTTCCCCAGAATTATTTTCCAACTTGACCTGAAATATTATTATAAATATGGAAGGATAGGGCAAGGGAAAAAAACAAACCAGTGTTCAGACAGTGGTTGTAAAACTGTAAAATGTAAAAATTAATTACAAAACCATATTCATATTTCAGGGATGTGAAATAATTTGTAAGATAATGCAGCACAAAATATTTTCCATATGTAATAGTTTGTTCATGCCAGAGGACAGATCCAGTTGTAACTAATCTGTGGAAAAGCTTAACACAGTAGCTACAGAGATAATTCAAACTGTAACTGTAATTAAAATAACAACACTAATTTCCATTTATAATTGCATTCTATGACGATCACAAGAGTCTTTACAACAAAGGACAGCCATTATCACTTCCCAATGGTTAAAACCAATGAGCAGGACTTTGTGTTTTAAAAATCACAAGTAGTTATAAATAAAAGCACTGAGTAGCAAATTTGTCAGATAAGTTTAAACAGAAGCTTCAAATCAGTCTTAACCTAAAGAAGGGCTATAGCTAATTCAGCTTTTAACAAGATCAAAGCAAATTTCATTAATTCCTCCTCTTTGGCTGGAAAAGATGGCTATGCCAGCCAGTTCAAATAAGTCCTGTATCTGGTCAAACTTGTCCAAATGCCTTTGTACTGTAGAACTACTGCACATAAGGAGGGTCAGTACACATGGTCACCTCAACAGTTACTGCATCTTCAGATGAAAAACCCTCGTTGAGGGGAGAGGGATGACAACACACAGCACGAGATTAGCAGAGATGTGGAAGAGAGAGTGCATTTAAGGAAGACAGAGAAGCAGTAGATGAAGCAAAGCAGATGGCTTACAAGCCATCCCAACGGGCACTGAGCTACAGCAAGCTGGATACTCCTGATAGAAGTTTCCACTCCGAAACAGTTTGTGTGCAAACAAAGACAAAAAGCATAGGTAGGAGCAGCTATACCCTAGCTAAAACCAGCTGTTGAATGACCATAGGCCCTTAGAGCCTCCAGGAATAAGGGTCTTGACATCACACATTTTGTTCAGTGCTAACACCAGAGGAAGTCAGATTTTGAAGGAAAAAAAGTGAGACAATAAGCCCATACAAGAGTTTTGATTATAATTTCTGCTAGCATAATCACTGGTGTGCAGTTTAGACCATCCATGATAAGAATAAATCCATACTACTTTCCTTTGGTCTTTTGTGAATAATCACTCTAGAAAATACCCTGACCTTGCATCATCAGTTTCTGTTTCATGGGAAGTGAGGTGCTGTCCTTAGGCAATGGCAAGTATGCAGGGTTGTAGAATATCTCAAGAGAAGAAGAAAGAGCCTGAATACCAACAGACAAAACACATTAACAACCTGTCCTGACTTGATTAACTTGAAATAAGACAGCCCCAACCCATAACGTTTTTTCTAGGATTTTGGAATGTTCAGTTCTGTGTCTTCACTTTAGGTTCAGAACATAAAAATTCTCAAGGGTCCAAATTAGCAAACTATTTCTTCTCATAACAAAAGACTTTGCCATATGAACCACGTAATAGATAGCTCTTTGCATCTCACTGGGTCAGGCAATGACACGGATACACAGAGAGTTTGCAATATACAGAGATGTAGCAAAACGCAAGCACTCTGCTAGCTCTAGTCAAACTCCAAAGAATTTACCTTATAAAATGCAGGTGTGACACACTGAATATAATAAAGTAGCAATCCAAGCAATATGTCTAAGAGATAGTTCCATAAAAATGTCACCTCAGTGCTCAGTAGCTGTCACAGAGCCAAATGACTGGGAACAGGAGTATATTAGGAAAGAAAAAATCTGAGGTTCCCCACATTTTGAGAACTCCACATTTTTGGTTCCCACACCTCATCTAAGGAGGATGTTGAAATGCAAAAGACCCAGAGAACTACCACAAGGACAATTTGTAGGTATGAAACAATGTCAGTATGGGTAATATTTAAAAAGATAAGGATTCCTCAGACTGCATACCAGAACTGAAGGGGCAGTACAGGACCTGTACTATAGTGAAAATAGGACACGATGTTCACCATCTGTTCTAATACAAGAACTAGAAGGCATCAAATACTGCTAGTAAGAACCAGGTTCAAGTCAACCAAAAGTAGGTGCTTCTTAACATAGACAAGGCTGGGCTGTGAAACTCCTGAGAAGAGGATGCTGTAGATGCTAGCAATTTACTCAAGTTCAGAAAACAACAGGAAAAATTCATGGAAAAGTAGTCGATCAATAGCTACCACATAAAATAAAATTTTAAAAAAACCCCCACACACCACTGGTCTCTGACTTAGGAGTCTCCAAATCATAAAATTGCTTAGGAAAATATTCTGGGAGAACACCACTGTCTAAGAACTGTGAATTTCTTCCCCAGATTTTGCTCTAAGGCCACTGCCAATGTAAGATAGCAACCTGGAAAGACCTTGAATGGTATTGCACCCATTCTTGTGTAGTCATCTTTCTTTTTAGCTAATAAAACCCTTCAAAACATGACCGTTATTTTCAATGCAATTGCCCATACATTAATTTCATAATGCTCCACTCACTTCCCCTCTCCCTTGCCTTCCCTCTCTCTCTTTTCAGATTAAAGAAAATCCAGATGGGGTGCAGGTGCTGCAAAATGATACAAAGGTACAACAGAACAAGAGTCCCTTAGATTCAATAAAAGAAACGCATTAAAACATGTGTCTGTGCTCCTTTACACCTGTTGCTTAAATTAAGCCTATTTACAAGGTTGGAGTTATCCTGAAGTTTATAGTATCTTTAAAGTCACCCCAGAGCACAGGCATACTGATTTCCTGTGAATGTCCTTTTGATTTACTGTAATTGAGGTCCATTTCTATAATTCCCATGACACAGAAAAATTGTGTGGCATTCAACTCATCTTTAGCAAAGCTTCTTCTCATTTAGGTAGCATGAGCTTCCCCCAATTTAGTAGAATAACAAGCACAGAACATGAGCTACAGATCCTTGCTTCCATCATAGTTTTTAAATGTAGTTAGTTGTAGGAACAACTCCCACATTAAGACTTCCTGGAGAGGGAGACTAGCTAGTTTTAGAAAGGCAATGCTTCAGCTCAACTTGACAGTTACTCCTTCACTTGGGCACATCTCTAGAACAGGTAAGGAAGTGGGAAAGAGAACCGGTGCTATGAGAGAACGAGGGAAGATAAATAAAAAAAAGAAAGAGTCTTTGGAAGAAATAAGTCACGGAAGTTAGGAGAAAAGAAAAAGGAGGGGACAAAAATAAAGAAAGGGACAAAGAGATAAGACTTGAAAGAAAGAACATTGGGGGCAGGGAAGGAGATATTTTAGCAATTAGATGAGGACGTATTAATTAACAATCTTTATGATGACTACTCATTGGCTAATCTGCCCCCCAGAGAAAATAAAATAAAGCTGGAAACATGCAACAACCAGCACAAGGTTCTCTGACATCCTCCTTACAGCCCTGGTAAATCTCACTGCAAGGGTTAGTTACAGTCAGTCCTAGGAGACAGGACCTTACAGCAGAATTCAGCATTTCCATTCAGTTTAGCTCATTCTCAGGACCCCAGGTGAAGTTTAGTGATAGCAGTTCCTCAAGATCTCCAGCTTAAAAATTAAGCTTAATCCTTTTTCTAATTATACTGATCAACAGCATAATTAACATTTCCTCTACAAATTTTCCTTACTCCAGCTATATTTTTGATTCAGAAGAAGTACAATCACCTGGATGCATTCATGAAGTAAACAGCTACAGACACAAGGAGCAAGGCAGCAATAAATTAAAATTCAAAGAAAACAGTGAAATTCAGGAACATAGAAGTGAACCCCAGAAGGATGAGCTAAACAGAACAGAAAAAAAAAATCAGGTAAATAGCACAAAAGAAACTCTCTGGAACCATGAAGGCAATGATTTTCAAGACGATGGCCTTGTGAACAGTGTTGCAAAGCTTGATGGTGCAGTCAATGGTGGCAACTCCTGTGCTGGAGTGCACCCCATGCTCAATCCCAACACAAACCCAGTGAAAGAACCCAGTGAACAGGAAACCTCCAGCCAGTCAGCAGAATCTTCTTCAGACAGCAATAGAGACTTTTACACCAAAGCAAACAGGTCTGGACAAGAACTTGACCTAGAGGCAAGCAGTCAGAGGAAGGCAGCCTGCAATGAATTAAACAGTATTCAAGATGGGAAATCCTTCTCTGCAGAAGATAGCATCTTTCTCGAAGGAAGTGCAAAACTGGAGACACAAAAAAATGACATACAACTGCCAGATATTGATTATCCCCAAAATGTCAATCAAACCAGGAACTATGTTGAAAAAGACAGCTTTTCAGTCAATTGTACACATTCAGACCAAAACACTGGGCCTTCACCAATACAGGACCAGGACCTTTGTGTAACTCCACCTTTGCCTATGAAGGAAAGCAGTATTGAACCTTTTAAAACTGACTCCACATATTCCTGGTGGTATCACTGCTGTAGCCATTACCAAAGTAGCACAGGCACACACACACCCCAACCACAAAGATGTCAATGGAGAAATTGAGGAGGAAGATGTAGAAGTAGCAGCAGCTCTGGCTGCACTGGAAGCTGCAACTGCAGGGGAAGACCTAGAAGATGATGATGAGTACTAGATGAAGGTTTATTTCTAATACACTGGGTAAGATCGATTTTATTTCTGGATCTATACGAACACATGTACAGCACATGGGGACAGCTGTTATGAACAGCATATATAAAAGGAGTTGGTACTAAACCTCTGTCCCTTCAGCTGTTTTATACAGCCTTTTAATTCCTCCTGCCTGAGCTACAGAAGTGCTCCCTTGGGTAATACTAACACTCTTCTCTATGGGGCAAACCAGGAGGGCAAAGCACCATCTCTTCCACAAGGATATTCTGCTGTATACCCACGTCACCTGGACTCATGCAAACATTTCCCTTGGTTTTGACTTTCAAGAGGGTCTATGCATACTGCATGTTCCAGTTTCAGAAAACTTCAATTATTTAAAACAGAACTATAGAAGACACAGAATTAGAAACCATGGAATTAAAAACCATAGATTTTCATTACATTAAGAAAAAAAAAAAGAAAAAAAAAACAAACACAACAAACCTGACACAAAGTTCTATGATCTAGTGAAGTATGAAATAGGGAAGGCAGCCTGGCTTGTACTTCACTGCAGTTACAATTCCATTCCAGATGAAGCCTAAATCTATGCATGTGCAGCTGGCATTAGGTTGATAACCTTATTTCTTCCCTTACACCTTCCCTGGACTTTGTTTGGTATCCCAAGTGACCTGCTTCAGCTCATTGAAACAGCAGAAGCCTGGCTAAATCCAAGCAAGGAGGTAACTTTCTGTTGGTTTAAAGAGATGAAGTAGCTCATGCGAGAATTGCACACGCATTATCAGAGATGCTGAAGAGGGACCAAAACTCAGTCCTACCAGTTTGAATAGTGTAAAACTTTTGCGAAACTACAGCCTAAGAACTCTCAACTTTGCTAAATTTTCCAGGCAAACATCACTTGTCTCAACAATACAGTTTGCAAACAAGTTGCTTCTCAGACTTCCCCAGCAATGTGTGTTTTGTTTATATACAAACAGCAACAGCCAGTGTGGACCCGTCCCTGAGCCCTTAAACTTAGAGCAGGAAAGTGATCGAGCTTGCAAGCTGAACTAAGTGCAAGGTCTGAAAATAACAGCTGCATTCTTGAAGCATTTACTGGTCTGAAGATGAGAGGAAGGGTATGTTAACCTTTCTTGTGGGAAGCAAAGGAGATAGAGACCAACTTGGTTCTGTCATTTAATCCAAAGTAGGATTTTAATGACTGAAAGAGAAAGTGCTTGACATTTTGTACTGAAATTTTGTGGTTTCTGAGTCTGTTATAAACTCTTAATAAATTTTTTTAATCATATGAAAAATCAACTGGTGGCTTTTGTGCTTTATGCATTTTCTGATTATATAACAGTTGCATAAAAATAAATAATATAAGATACATCCTTCATTAGATATATGAAAAGCACCAACTATGTCAACATAGTATATGCCGAATCCTAGTCTCACCATTAACACACAAAAGGATAAGAGTATTAGGAGGTGGGGTTTAAGTAATGTGTAGATATTTAAGTCATTTCTGTTTAAATGCAGATTCCTTATTTCCCTCCAAATAGTAGATGACTAAATCAATATTTCAATTTCTCAAAATATTAATGTCCGTAAGAGCAATTAAAAAACCTAAAGTCTTAGCTTCAAGAGAACTAAATTCAGCTAGATGAAAGTCACCACACTGTATCTGTAAAATAAAAAAAAGCTTTATATGTTTTCAAAGTATTGTAGTACTGTTTATCATTTGATTTCTCTACCACTTTCCTACTTTAGGAGGCCCTTCTAAGCATTTTCACAAGTGCATACAAATTTTACATCACATTTGTGTATCAAAAGTTACTATAATACTGAATGGCAGTGGAAGACTACTTGCACACTGCATATAACTAGTTGTGGTTATGACAGGACATAGCATATCCCTGCTTTTATATCATGAGGGCCCTGAGGGCATCACCAGGCCTGACTGTCCCTGCCCACCCTGCAAGGCTCGCCCTGCCCAGGGCCCCATTTCAGCCCCTGGGAGACATCAGACCCTGCCCAGCCTGGCCATGGGCCCCACGGAGCTGAGCCTACCCGCAGACTGACAGCCTTGCCCCACCAGAGATGCCCAACAGCCAGGGCCAGGGTTGCCCCCGTGTCCCCTGGCCTGCCCTGCTTCCCTGGCTGGGGCGGGGGGACAGGCCCCGGCTGCAAGGCCCAGCCCTGCCATCCCCAGGGGAGCCTCCACTGCTCCCCAAGTCCCAGCCCCAGGGAGACACTGGTCCCTGCTGCACCATGATATGAACCATGAAAATTATTTAAGTAAAAAAAACGTTAAAGAAAAATGCAAACACCCCAGAAGACATACCTGTTTTTTCAATATCCACTTGATTAGATTTTTCTGAACCATGAAAATTATTTAAGTAAAAAAAATGTTAAAGAAAAATGCAACAAACACCCCAGAAGACATACCTGTTTTTTCAATATCCACTTGATTAGATTTTTCTAACCTGAACTCCAACACAAACTTTGAGTGCAAATCATGGCAAGTTTTCATCTTGCTCCCCAAGAATTAAAATACGCTGGAGGAGAACACCTGCGCAAACCCAGCCAGTGCCCTGGATGCTCCAAACCAGGCATCTCTTCCAGGGGCAACTGCCCACAATCGTGGGCCACCAGACTTAAATCCTCTGCAAAAGAGCAGCTGGGCCATGAACATCGCATTGTTTGCAGCCCAAGTTCCCATTATCTTAAATGTAAGAAAGGCAAACAACAGTGTAAAGCAAGTATATTCACTGCATCAGAAT